GAAGAGTGCAAGACGGAAGATGTGTAACTTGGAAAAGTTTCAGCATGCTCCTATAATTGTACTAAAATGGAACGTCCTTACCCGTAGTGTTAAACTGAAGTTGGACACAAAATGAGGAAAATATAGAAGAATAAAAAAAATAAGGAAAGTGCCAATTACTTCTTACAGTGATACCTACATGTAAATTTTGGTAGAAGTTAATAAATTTCTTAAGGAGACTTTTAATGGGAGGATGATATTTATAAGAAGAAATAGTAATTTTCGATTATTTGGTAATTATGTAGGATAAGAAGATATAAATGAGAAAAAAACAGACTTCATAAGTATGTTGCTAATACATGAGGTGTCTACAAATCCTATTTAAAAGCTTCAGCGGCCTAGCCGGTACATATTGTTGTGATAATTATTAAGAAGAACTATTAAGCCGTATGACACTCTTATTTCTTTCCTTAAATTATAGAAGATTGAGAGTGTCTACATATGAAGAGAAGGTGTAGCCCTCTGTACATCCAATAGTGATCTTATAAGAGGCGGAATGTTCCTGGGAACATCGTAACAATGGTATGAATAATGAGAAATATATGGAACGGTGAAAGAAAACAACTGTCTATGATATCGTTGCCATGGTCTGTTCTGTGTAATGTATTTACGAAGGCTAACCTAACAGCATTGTGTGACCAAAGAAAAGTCACATAATGCTTGTTCACTAAATATAACAATCCATTCTCAAGCGTGTCCCATTAGATATACAGTAGGATCATCTGTCATTGGGAAAGATTCTTGAAGCTTTATTTTTATTTCTTATGAGTTATTTGAATCCAAATTATTCATGAAAGTGCCCAGTTATTAGGTAACCTCCTCATATACATATCCCTGAAATTTCTATATTCCCAATTCGATTTCATTAATAGAATATGTGGATCATGAAACGATGGTCGGATTTGAGATATTTGCTGATTTCTTATAATAATTCCTGTCTGAGTCAGAGTTTTATTGCAAATTGTTGTACTCGTATGAACCGTAGAATGAACAATATTTATTATTGCATTGACTTCGTCTGCTGAAAATCTATATTTTAAATAATTCTGCGGAAACATGGAATCCTTCTCATTTGATGTATTGCATTCATGGTAATATTTAAATAAAGCTCAGTAAGGATCGAAATGTTTATTGGCTGATAAAACCTCGATCAATTTCCCGAAGAGTCCATCAGACGTCTTTTCGTTAATTCGTTTTTCACATGTCATCTAATATGTGTGAAAGACATTCATTATGTTCCTGTTTTGAATGACATATTTGTGTGTACACTATTTCGAAGGACTGGGAATTTTGAGTAATGTCCTCATAGGGGTAAGGAACATATCATTTATATTGATGTTGGAGTTGCATACATTTGATGGGATATATAAATATAGTCGAAAAAACACATTTAACTTAATGAGTGAATGTATCTTTCATATGCTTCCATATTACTTATGTCCTAAAATGGACATACAAGGTATATAGTACACGCAAGGATTTGTTAATAATACTCTTTATGGTCAACTCCGTAGTCTTATTGTCGAAAGTACGAAGACTGGGTAGTTGTGAGATCTGCAGGAAATATAAAATAGCTTCAGTTGTTGTGTGGTGCGTGCATGTGGTATCTGATGTTTGGAACCTCCTAAGATAAGAATTAAGTCTACAGATGAGAAATGCTGTTCGTTCTTCGTATGTAATATGAGTTCGCTGTTATCTCCATATCTTTTGAAGTACAGCTTGTATTTTCTTTTTTCTTTGGAGAAGAGGTTTATTTAGTCATTGTGAACTCCCGAATGCAATGTAGAAATTGGTAAAGTAGATGATGTACAAAGCAAGGTCGATTACATTTAGTCATGAATCGCCTGATAATAGTG